TCAAAGACCACAGCTTTCCGTATAGATTGCATCTAGTGTTGTCATTGTTATGTGCTGTGGAGGCGGTTCTGACTCATAGTGACCCTGCATAGGGTTTCTGAGGCTGTAAATCTTTATGGGTGCAGAAAGCCTCATCTTTCTCCTGCAGAACAGCTGGTAGTTTCGAACTGCTGATCTTGAGGTTAGCAGCCAGATTCATAACCACTACGCTACCAGAGCTCCTTGCATCTCAGTGTAAAGAAAACAAAAATCTTCACCACTGGACCAATAAACAACATTTTTATCAATGGAGAAAAGATTGAAGTTGTCCAAGACTTCATTTTGCTCAGATCAACTATCAACACTCATGGAAGCAGCAGTCAGAAAATGAAACAATGTATTGCATTAGGCAAATCTGCTGCAGGAGACCTTTTTAAAGTGTTGAAGACCAAAGATGTCAGTTTGAGGACTAAGGTGCACCTGACCCAAGCTATGGTATTTTCAATAACCTCATATGCATGTGAAAGTTGGACAGTGGATAAGGAAGACCGGAGAAGAATTGATGCTTTTGAGTTACGGTGTTGGAGGAGAATATTGAAAGTGTTAGGGGCTGCCAAAAGAACCAACAGATCTGTGTTGGAAAAAGTGCAGCCAGAGTGCTCCTTGGAGGCCAGGATGGCCAGACTTCATATCTCATACTTCGAACATATTGTCAGGAGGGACCAGTCCCTGGAAAAGGATATCATGTTTGGTAAGCTGGAGAGTCGGAGAAAAAGAGGAAGACCACCAATGAGATGGACTGGCACAGTAGCTGAACCAATGGGCTCAAGCGTAGCAATGATAGTGAGGTTGGCCCAGGACTGGGCAGTGTTTCATTCTGTTGTGCAGAGAAGGTTGCTGTGAATCGGTACCGACTCAATGACACCTAACAACAACAACAGCAACACTACACTTTTCCAGATGCTCAGCTATCTTCATGCCTCTTTCATTCACCTACTTCTGATCATTCTAAACATTTCACCATTTCTGAACATGTCTTGTCCCTCAAGTTGATCAGCCTTTTTACATAGTTATTTTTCTTCTGTGAGGGTCCTGGTGTGGCACTGTAGGATCAGCACTGGACTGCTGACTACAATGTAGGCTGTTCAAACCCACCAGCTGCTCCTCAAAAACCCCATACCCTGGGTCACTATGAGTCAGCACTGACTAAATGACACTTAACAACATTTTCCTTCTGTACAAAACACACTTCATTATTTTCAGCTAGCTCCAGTTCAGTGACACCTGTCTAGGAAGCTTTTCCTGCCCTATCAGACCAAGTTGGTTCCTGCTCTGCTTTCACTATATTGTTGTTAGTTGCTTTCAAGTTGACTTCCAATTTATTGCAACCTCAGGTGTGCAGAGTAGAACTGCTCCATAGGATTTTCAAGGCTGTGACATTTTGGAAGTCGAGCACCAGGTCTTGTTTACAAGGAGCCTCTGGGTGGAGTTTGAACCACCAACCTTTCTTTTAATAATCCATCACGTAATCGTTTGTGCTCCTAGGAACTCTCCTGCCTTAGGTGCTGAATTCCTGGAAGACAAGAACTGTGTCTTACTCATCTTTGTGCTCCTGTTGGTACCGACTCATAGTGACCTTATGCACAACAGAAGGAAACACTGCCCGGTTCTACGCCAATCTCACAATCATTGCTACACTTGAGCCTATTGATACTGCCACTGTGCCAATCCATCTCGTTGGGGGTCTTCCTCTTCTTCACTGACCTTCCACTTTACCAAGCATGATGTCCTTCTCCAGAGATTGGTCCCTCCTGGTAACATGTCCCTCTTGATAATAGTATGGGAGACAAAGTCTGGCCATCCTGACTTCTAAGGAGCATTCTGGCTGAACTTCTCTCAACACACATTTGTTTGTTCTTTTGGTGGTCCATAGTACTTTTATTATTGTCCTCCAACACCACAACCCTAAGTACCCAGAATGATTTCTGGTTTATGGTGGTTGTGTGCCACTGAGTCAGTTCCAACTCATAGCTACCGAGTTTCTGAGGCTGTAAGTCTTTATGGGAGCAGAAAGCCTCCTCTTTCTCCTGAGGAGTGATTTTATAATCTACTATGCTACTAGGGCTCCTGTTTGGTTTGTGGTAGGCCTTGACAAATATTTGTTAAATGACTGATTGAATACCTTTGTACTCATCATCAGATCATTTTTGTGTATATTAATAGTCCACTGGAGCTCTGGCATCAAGAGCTGGGCACTGGGAAATTGTTCTCAGCATTCTCCATTTGTGAGTTATAAAAGACCCATGGAAACTATGATTATTTTGTGGGGGACTCCTCTAGCCTAATATTTCCAGAGTGCTGTCAAGGTGAGATCACAATGCTTGGCATATGTTATCCTGTCTTATAAGACACTTAGTAGCCAAACTTTCCAGGAGACAGGGCAGGGTATGGCCTAAAACTTTACCAACAATTGTCCTATGTATCCATCGAATGCCACCATCCTTTTTTCCCCTTTCTGTCTCACCACACTAGGGCATATCACTGATGTGAATTCATCAGCCTGTTAGGACTAAGGCTGTATCATTCACCTAGCCTTGCCCGGGGAACACACACCTGCAGGGCACTCAGTAAACCTTGTTTCATTTCAGCTCCAAATGTGTTTCGGCTTCTACAATTGCCTGATGGTACAGAAATGCATCTGCTGGTGGCCATCCTACTCAGAAGCCCGATGAAACTGCCCAGAAGACAGATGTCTATGCCTGAGTCTGAATAAACTGTTGCAGGTTAAAAAACTAAACAATGGTAATTGACAGCATTTGGATCAAAGTTCTAAATCTGACTTTAATGAAATCTGTCCTGACATTGGAACTTATGTGATCTTTTATTCTTGGTTCTTTCACCTGTAAAATGGGGACAGTGACTTTAATGAGATAATGTTTTGAAAGTACTTAGGACAGGCTTAAACAAAATTGTTGTTATTGTTAAGTGCTGTGGAGTCAGTCCCCACTCATAGTGACCCTGTATAGGGTTTCAGAGGAGCAGCTGGTGGATTTAAACTGCCAACCTTGTGGGTACCAGTCCAGTATTTATCCTACAGAGCCATAGCAGGACACTTAAGCAAAGTTATGTTGTTTTATGTGCCGTGGAGTGAGTCAGTTCTGACTCATAGTGACCCTGTACAGGGTTTCCGAGGCTGTAAATCTTTACCGGAGCAGAAGGCCTCATCTTTCTCCCGCAGAACAGCTGGTAGCTTCAAACTGCTGACTGTGAGATTAGCAGCCTGATCTGTAATCACTACGCTACCAGAAGTCGTTAGGCAGTCAATATTTGAAAACTGGTTTCTTGTTTATATTATCATTTAGCATTTTGATATTTCACAAATATGGAGCTTAAATACTACCTTGACATCAAATTGTTTGTCAGGGTTCTAAGCTGCCCTCTGAAGTCAGTATCAAGGGAAGGGCTAGGTGTATGGGATGAAGTCCCTCTGCCCAGTCATGATGCCCTTTAACATTACAGATCTCATCCTTTGTGTAACACCCAAACTTCAAATGTCTTATTTATTCTCTCTTCAGGTTCTGAAATTTGCTGAGCCAAGTCTACCTCTTCAAACATTAAAGTTGGAATGGTCCTCAGAAATCAGCTCATCTAACCCATTTATTGTACAGACTGTAGAGGCTACCGAAACCTGAAGAGGGGATGAGCAGTGCCTAGTGTTACTAAGAGAGGGGGTATCAGAGTTGGAACCAGAACCAGGTCTCCAGATGGGATAGCTCTGCTCTTTCCAGTGTACTTTGCTGCCCCTCCTGCAGTCAGTCATGCCATCAGAGACTCAGACCATGCTTTTCCTTAGTCTTGGGATTCCAGGGATCCTTTGTTCCTTGGTGAGCAGTTGGCACTTCCAGGTGATGTGCAGAGATCCATTTACAGCTCTTTCTGGGGACAGTCTGATGTCCTGAAGAGCTGAGTCAGGATTCAGGCCATGGTACAGCTACCTGTGCTATGACTGAGACCTGGGGTCCCAGAAGCAATCACTCTTCTCTTTCTAGACTTGGGGAATGTTGAGTTTTAAGGAGAATTGAGACTGGCCCATTTTTGCTCTGCTAGTTCTATTGCTCTGCTAGTTCTCATTTACAGATGAAGAAACTGAGGTTCATAGAGACAGATTCAAGCTAATACAATCACCAGAACTTCAATTTCAATCCAGGTCTCTTTCTAATAATGTGGCTAAGGTTAGATCTGTAAAATGGAAACTAGAGCATGTGAAAATACAGTTGTTGATGATTCGATGAATCCATGAAGGTGAATGTGTTAGTAGACTGAGAATGCCTGAGGGAAGGATCTTTGTATCATCAGTGCCTGGCATATCGCTGGTAGTCAATACACTAAAACAATAAACATACGAATGTATAAATGAACAAAGGAAAATAGAAATGAACCACTTCGCCCAGGTGCCTGGAACACAAGAGGTACTCCACAAATGCTCCTTTCCCTTCCCTCACACTGAAGAGTCGTGACCCTATGTGTAGTCTCCATGCCTGGCTATTGGAGGCCTTGATGTGTGTGTGGTAGAATGAGTGACTCGGGAGCTCTGAGCCTGAGAAGCTAGAAGGGAAATGCTTGTCTTCTGCAATAGGCTTCAGACAGGGGCATGCTCTCCTGGCCAGAGCTTCCCTCCACTGCAAGGTTACCCATCTTCTAAGCCAGCCCTGGCCCAGTAGTTATCAAGGCTCCATCAGGAGCAGCAGATCCTTCCAGCTGTAGACTGACTGACAATGGGGAAGTGGCCACACAGTGAGACAGGATGTACTCCACCCAGCCAGCCTCAACATCATTCCATTCTTCCACCTGCCCTCTCTTTCTCTGTCTTCTCGGGCCTTCAAATCTTAATCCTCTGTGTCTGGTGAATAAGGAAATGAATGTTTAGAAGATGCTTGGTATACAGCAGGTACTCAATAAATATTGGTGGGATGAGTAAATGAATGAATGAAAACAAGACTGAAGGAAGAGACAGGCTTTCTGATGCGTGTCTATTTATTGGCAAAGGGTCCTATAAGCCATGACCACTCCCTGTCCACCCTCTTCCCTGTGAAAATAAATTCTGTCCTTCCCACTTGCTGCTTTATCTGCTTGCTTTGTTGGTCCAGGGAACATGTGTCATCCCAAGACTTGTCCCAGCATGCCCTATGCATCCCAGGAAGCAGGGAGGCAGAAGGGTGGTTTTTATAGGCCCTCAGACTTCCACTAAGAACTGAGCACAATTTGTTTGTCAGTGAGGGGTGGCAGCAGTATTGGAAGCAGCAGCATGGGGTATATGGTGGGGTGCTGCCCCTGAGCTGGGGTTCTAGTTAGCTGAGTCCACTCCCAAGTGAGCACTGAGCGAGCTTCTTCTGAGGGAGATGTCTGGGAGGCCCACCACCCAGGCTCTGTGTGGTCAGAGCGGGCAGGCACGGCAAGCCCCATAGCCACCAAGCTGAGTGAGCCAGGCACCAGAAGAGGTGGGCTCTTTCCTATGGAAGCTGGTGAGCTCCCCACCACCACTTCCAGGTCTCCTTCATATAGATACCCAGTCTAGGTGACATGGAAGGATGTCACAGTGAATAGTGGGGGCTCTGCTGGAGGCAGGGACACCCCCAAAGCAGAGGCACAATGTGGTGGTTGGAGGAACTGGGGCTCATGTCACCTATAGTGCGGAGGGGCTGGGCACAGCCCAACCTGCATTTGCCTTCTCCTAGTCCCAGAACAAACAGCCTCACCAGGCCTGCTGCCTCAGACCCCGGGGCCAGATGACCATTTCTCCCCCACCCAGGTCTACCACACCTCACACAGCTGCCCTGGGTTCATGGGGGAGCCGACAGGGCAGCCGAAGTGCCGCAGGAAGTCACGGGAGTTGGAGAGAGAGCCCAACACGCGGAAGCGGGCAGGGCTGTGGGGGTCGGTCACCAGCCCCTCGTGAGAGCTCTCTGGTGTGCGGACCGAGCACCACACCTGTGGGCCAGGACAGACACGGGGACATATGGTGTCCAGTGTGGGGTAGGAACACAGACTCCGCTTCAGCAGAGCCATCCCAAGGGTACAAACCACCACTACCCCAGGCCCCAGCTCAGGAGGGTTCTAGTCCTGCTTTCTCCAGGCCTCAGGGAGACTGGAGACGACTTTGTCAGCATCTCCACCCTCCTACATTTCTTGAAGTCCTTTCAAAGCTGTTCTGGACACTGGGTTGCCAGGATGGGCATGAGTTAGGGGGAAAAGCAGAACCCCCAGAGACTGCCTGGAATGGCGTAACATACCTAGAGTGGACCTGCCTCAACTCTAGCTTTGTCATTTCCTTTATCCTAGGTGGCTCTTCGGGGAAGCTTTGTCTCCCCAAGCTTTAGTTTCCTTCACCATAGCTAACTCACCGGAATATTGTGAGGATCAAATGCCCTCTCCTCATCCCTCCCTATTCAAAGCAGGGCAATCCTGTCCTTTCAGATCTGTGGAATCTTATTGAAGATTTATCCCTCCTCAGGCCTCCTCAGGCTGCTTCTGTGGGCCCCAGCTGAGAAGATCTGGGCATGAGGACTTCCCACCCCAACTTCAGCCCATTTCTCAACCCCTTTCCTACATGGCCCAGACTTCTTCCTACATCACACGTAGGAGACAGTGGGAAACAAGGGCAGATCCCAGGCCTCCTGGGAGGGCAATACCTGGGCAAATCCCACAAAGAAGAGCTGGTGGTTGGTGAGCCCCACGGCTGGTAGCTGCTGTTCCTCCCCGTGCTTTCTCAGCCACGCTTTGTAAGCCTGGGGCCGGGCACAGTGGGCAGCAAGTTCATCAGGGCCTGCCCACCTCCACCCAGTGCCCTTCCCACCATGTGGGTGGGACTCAGCCACTGGAGGGCCAGCAAAGCCACTCACATTATAGGCAGCCTTAAGCCCCCCGTTGTCAGCGATGTTCTCCCCCAATGTCTGGCGGCCGTTGAGCCTCTCGCCGTTGACCTGGTATTGACTGTACTGCTCCTCCATGCAGGCTGTGTGGTTCCGGAAGGCCGCCAGGGACTCATTCTGCCACCAAGGCCGCAGGTTCCCTTCCTTGTCATACTCACGTCCTGGGAAGAACTCACCTTTGCATCCCACCAAGACAGAACTCACCCCTTTTTGACAGGTGAGCCCCAGCAACCCTAGTCCACAGATGCAAGAGACCATTGGACCTGGGCCCTAATACCCCAAAGCTTGCAGGAGCCACCAGAGATTCTAGGTGTGCAGGAGAACTCCATGGGCTCCTACCTTGGTCATCAAAGGCATGTGTCAACTCATGGCCCATCACCACACCGATGCCACCAAAGTTCAGGGCCCTGGTGAATACAGAATACTAATGAGGGCCGGACAGGGAAACCTGAGACTCCCACCTCCAGCCCTGTTCCCAGCTTGCCCACACGGCAGGCCCCAGCACCCAGCTCCTACTGTCTCAGATATACTTGGGGTGGTTGCGAGCATAGAAGGGGGCCTGTAGGATGCCAGCAGGGAAGACAATCTCATTCTTGGTTGGAAGATAGTAGGCATTCACTGTCTGGGGGGTCATGCTCCACCTGGGGGAGAGGCAGGCTGAGGCTGAAATGATCCTGATCCTTGATGCCCCTCCCAGCCCAGCAGCCCTGACCTACCTCGTGCAAGGTCTGGCACTTCTGGTCCAGGATCAGTCTTGCTACCCCCACCCCCACTAGCTCTGGATACCTCCCACCACCTCTCCTACTGTCCCAAGTGCCGTGGTTCCCATTCTCACTGGTCCCGGCTGGGAGGCTTGCGGAGCTGGTCAGCCATAACCTTAGCAGAGAGGTTGTACAAATTCAGCATGTTCTGGAAGAAGGAGTCTTCAGAGACTTCATACTATGGGAATGGTGCAAAGGGAAAAGCACACAAAAGGACATGTAGGAGCACATGATAAATAGATCCCGGTGGCACTATGGTTGGGCATTAGGCGGTTAACTACAAGGTCGGTGGGTCAAGCCCACCAGCCACTCCTCAGGAGAAAGAAGAGGCTGTCTGCCCCTATATTTACAATCTATGAAACTTGATGGCAGTAGATTTTTTGGTCACCAACTAGTAACTCTCTGAGCCTGGTTTTCCTCAAGTATAAAATGGGAGTAAAATATCTTCTTCATAGTATTATTGTAATGATTAAATAATGTCATATATGTGGAATACTAAACAATAAACTGCCAATATTTAAAGAGCATTTATGTTGCATGTGATATAGATTTTTTATACACCGCCTCCTTTCATTCTTACAACTACACTGTGAGGTAGGTACTAAATTGTTGTTATTGTTGTTAAGTGCCATCAAGTTGGTTCAGACTCATAGCGACCCTGTATAGGGTTTCCGAGGAGTGGCTGATGGGTTTGAACTGCTGACCTTGTGGTTAGCAACCCAGTGCTTATCCTACAGTGCCACACCAGAATTCCAGCTACTAATTGTTGTTGTTGTTGTTAAGTGCCTTCTAGTCAGTTCTGACTCACAGAGACCCTGCATAGGGTTTCCAAGGAGTAGCTGGTGAGTTTGAACTGCCAACCTTGTGGTTCAAATCGATCTTGCAGTCCAGTGCTTCATATCACAGTCCCACACCAGGTACTAATAGGATCCCCATTTTATAGATCAAGAAACTGAGGTTCCATGAGGTTATAAAATCTATCTAAGGTTATATAGCTATTTAAGGAGCCCTGGTAGCATAGTGAGTTATGAATTGGGCTACTAACCTCAAGGTCACAGCTTGAATCCACCAACAGCTCTTCAGGAGAAAGGTAAGGCTCTCCACTTTCATAAAGATTTATAGCCTTGAAAACCCTATACAAGGTTGCTATGAATCAGAACCTAATCAACAGCCATGAGTCCTGTTGATGTAGTGATTAAAGTGCTCAGTTGCTAATCCCAAATCGGTGGTTTGAACCCACCAACTCTAGCTGCTGTAAAGATTTACAGCCTTTAGAAATCCTGATGTAGTTCTACTCTGTCCTATAGGGTGTCTGTGAGTCAAAATTGACTCAGTAGCAGTGTTTTTTTTGTTGTTGTTTTTCCTTTTTTTTTTGGAGGGGGGTTGACCTGCATTCTGGAATAGAGTTAGCACTTAAGAACCAATAGGTTATCAGGACTGACTGATTGCGAGGGTTGGAAATTTAAAAGTTCTCAGCGCTTGGACTCCAATTTCTGAGCCCAGATCTACTGTCAGGGATGCTGTTCCCTACAGGCTAAAGTTCAATACTAGGGAATAGAGGTACTCACCCCGTCATAAATATCATCCAGCTCTTTGGGTTCCAGGATGAAGTCCGGGAAGCCAATCATGTCATAGATAGCATCTGCCTGAAGAGAGCAAGTTAAGTGGTTACCCTCTTCAGGAGTTCCTGGTTGGTACAAATGATTAACATGCTCAGCTGCTAACCGAGAGGGTGGAGATTCCAGCACACACAGAGGCAACTTGGAAAATGATCTATTTCCGAAAAAATAAGCCAATGAAATCCCAACGGATATGCACCCCAATATTCATAGCAGCACTATTTACAATAGCAAAAAGATGGAGACAGCCTAAGTGTCCATCAACTGAAGAATGGATAAACAAACTGTGGTACATACACACAATGGAATATTATGCTACCTTGAAAAATAACAAGGAAGCTGCAAGCCACCACATAACATGGATGGACCTTGAGGACATTATGTTGAATGAAATTAGTCACAAAAGGAGAAATACCACATAGGACCACTACTGTAAAAGACTAAGAAAAAGAACCCATAGTAAAGGGGGGTGGGATTCTTTGCTAGTTACCTGGATGTGGAGGGGATGGGTCGAGGGGAGGGAGGGGAAGGTGGAGCACAGGGTAGGGAATAGACAATAGTTTGGGTGCTAGGGAGGGGGCAATACATAAGAAAGGGGACGGGAATGGAAGAACAAAGCGGATGGGGAAACAATTAGCCAGGTTTGCATGGGAAGTGGGACAGAGGTAAATAATGATGTATGCACAACCTTGGAACAACAGGGCTCTGGGATACAGGGATTGAGACATGGTTGGAATGGGGAAAAGGGGGGAAATAATGTTAAGATGCTTGACTGTCTTTTGAATCTTGGTTTCCCTGGCATACTATTATAAAATAGGCACTTGAGGGGGAGAGAAAAAAATAGTCAGAAATATCACCATAGAAAGCTTGTAAGTTTGTCTTCTGCCTATAACTGATTGAAATACTTAAAATGGGGCTACAAAGTGCCCAGTGAAGGAGGCTTCCTGCGGAGCCTCCGCATTACAGAAGACCATAGGTGGAATCCTGAACAGCATCCAGAATCTTCATAGGTGGGAAATTTCTACTTGAAAAAGACAAAAAGACCAGCCTGGAGTGGCCAGAAGAACAGAAGGTACTTTTTGAAAGAAAGACTGACAGGAAAGCAATATAAGCAGTCTGACTGATTACTACAAGAACAAGCAAGTTGCTTGTCCAGGAGACATCAAGGCAAGTGGTCGGGTCCCCTCAGTGCAAACCCCTTCCAAGACTAAGACTCATTGGGAATACATGCTCTGATTGGTGACGACGTTCATCACCGATAAGGGGAACTGAGGGAAAAACAGCAATGAAACTGTAAGCTAAGCCTTACAACATTCAATAGACTCCTCTGAACCCAGGTGGAGACTGGTTGGCCAGCAGTGTGGCAAGACTTGGGGACTCTTGGGCCCAGAGTCAGTGACCTAGCCACAGAGGACTAGAGTGGAGAGTGAAGCGTCCAGCTGATAAGAAGAGAGGGCAGATGCACAAGAACACCCACACTTGCAGATAATACCCACTTGACCTGGCTTCAATGACTTGATGATCAGAGCTCAACTAGAAGAAAGAAGAGGATAAAGAGTAATCTGATACAATTTGATAAACTTGGCTTACACCTATGGATGCAGTAACTCAAAAGACAGAACAAATCTTTACAGCGATGATCATCCCCACCCCCTCCATACACAGAGTAGACAGGGCTGGGCAACTTGGACATTGGCTACCCAAAATGGAGAGCTACAAAGGCAAGAAGTGACTGGCTTACAAGCTTTCAAGAGGGAGCCTAGATCTAGAGGGCATGGAGGAAAGTAGAATCTCCACTGAGTAGTATCCAATATGTCTGGGCGGGACTGATGAAAGGAGACGCAGATAGGTCTCTTGTGATATAATAATGAATAATTGTTCAAAACTACCAGCTGTTCCACGGGAGAAAGATGAGGCTTTCTGCTCCTGTAAAGATTTACAGTCTCGGAAACCCTGTACAGGGTCGCTATGAGTCGGAACCGACTCCACTGCACATCACAACAACAATTGTTATCAGGACTGATTGCGAGGGTTGGAAATGTAAAAGTAGACATTTTGTAGCAAAAGGAGGAACGATGGATTTTGCAGTCTAGGAGCAGAGGTCCTTGGGACCACCAAGGGAGAAGAGCGGAGAGGGGGACCCTACCCAGAGAAGCAGTGACGCCAGAGATGGAAGCAAAGACGATGACATGGAAAGATGGAGCAGCTGGGAACTCTAGACTCAGAAAGGGAGAGGGGCTATGTGCTGATGACCAGGGCCTTTGTTTGGTTGATGATGTATGGAGGTGATTGTAACCATGGCAATGAAACGATATATGATGAATAAATGTAAAGCTAATGTTCTCCCATGTAAAATATCACATAATTCACGATAAAACATTAAAAAAACAAACAAACCCAAGTAGAGCACAGTTCTACTTTGACACACATGGTGTCATCACGGATTGGTATTAGTTCCAAGGCAAAGGGTTAACTGGTTAAGTTGCATTAAAACTATCCTTCATGACCACCTCAAGATGGCGCCCCAACCCTAGTCACAGCTCACTTTCTCTTTGGCTGCCAGGCGCGTCTTCTCATCCATCCACACCAGCTGTTCCAGGGCCTCCTCAAAGGCTGTACGGATCTCACTGATCATCCCCTCAGCCTGGGAGGGTGAAGGCACAAATCAATCTCCTTCCTGCACATCATTCTTCCAGTCCTCTGCCCAGCACCCTTACCGCATCCCTTCAGGGGAGCACGTGATAGTGCCCGGATTCATGAGATAAGGCCAAGCTGGGGGGATGGAGAGGAAACTCCATTTGTGAAGGTAGTAGATGGCTTTTTAAAAAAATATAATGAATTAAAGTTTTAGTTGACAATGTTGTTATTAAATGTCATGGAGTCAATTCCAACTCATAGAGAGGGTTTCCAAGGAGCGGCTGATGGCTTTGAATCACTGACCTTGCGGTTAGCAGTTCAGTGTTTATCTTACAGAGCCATACCAGGACTCCAAGTTAACTAAATTAATTTAATTTGAATATAGTGTATTGATTCTTATATGATTATAAAAGGAAGGCATTAATAGTAGAAACCTTAACAATTTGGTAAGAGCTGTGAAATAGACGTCATTTATAATCCATTTTAAAGATAACTTCTTTTTAACATTTTGCTTCCCTACTTCTAGTGTTTTCTTTGCAGATAAATGTAATATAGAATTCTGTTGTACACCATGTATTTTTTTTGCAACCTTCCCCCCGATTTAAAAATATATCATCAGCTTTAAGGCTGTCTCATAAATCCATTCTAATCATTATTCATTTTTCTATCCCGCTATGAGTGGACACATAAATTGTTTTCATTTTTCCCTATTATAAATAACACTGCCACAAGCATCTTTGTAGCTAATACTTTAAATTACCAACTCCCAATAGATAAATATTTTTCTAGTTATACAGGTAACATAAACTCATTGTAGAAAATTTGCATGATACAGAAAACTTTAAAGGACAAAGAAATTCTTCATACTCTCACCACCCAAAGCAACCACTTTTGATTTGTTTAGGAACTTCCTACCATTCTCTTCTTCTTATGTACACACATCAATTAACAGTGAATTTTAAAATAAAACAAGGGGTACTTTGGAAGAAACTTGGAGACTCACAATTTCCTTGCTTTGCCGGTCAAATGTGGCCTTCACAAATAAGGAACCCAGAGCAAAGCCAAGGGCGTCATCTGTGTTGGAGATGCAGGTCTGCCACCTCGGCATGCAGGACTATCAGGGACAAAAAACCAGTCTTCCCAGAGCTGCCTCTGTCCTCCAGTTTGAGGGCCTTCCTGTTTCTGGGGCTAGCCCTCCTCAGCTCTGGGTTTGGGGTGCCATCTTTCCCTCAGACACAGGGCAAAAGGAAGAACAATATCTCAGTGTGCTACCTCAGCAGCACAACCTCAGGAGGAACCAATGTGCTAACTCACTCTTAGCATTCTTCTCCTCTGAAGTTTCTAAGAGTGCCAACGGGCTCTAGACATTTCTTTGCTTCTTTCCATATCTCAGACTTATATCTAGATCTCCACACCTTGGAGTCATCCCAACTTGCTCCATCCCTAAACCCCACATTTAATCCACCACCAATTTCTACATGGTGTTATGCTCGTCTCTTCTGTCCACCCCATTGCCACCACTCTGCCCTAGAACACTATCATCTTTTGCCTCCCACTAGACACCCTGACTCCTTTCTCGGGTCTCCCATTCTCCTCCACTTGGCTGCAAGAGAGATTATTTAATATACAAACCTAACCACATTATTCCTCTACTTAAAGTCATCTCCTGGCTCCCCATGCGTGAAAGGCCAGACTTCCTAGCACAGCATTCTGGCCCCTTCCTGGACTGTCTTATGCCCACTCACCAACTTCAGCTTCTTTGCTAGCCTGTGCTCAAGCTCAGACAGAATACAAGCAAACCCATCATGCTCTGTCTAACCGCTAGGAATTTGCACATGCTGTTCCTTCTGCTTGGAATGCCCTTTTCTCCTGGGTTCTTGGTGAGCTTATTTATCAAATGTCACTTCCTCAGAGAACCCTTTTCTGTGTTATTCCCACCTCTGTCCTGTGGCACAAAGATCTTTCATTTATTATGACTACTGCCATCCTAGAATGTAGTGTATTTGTTTATACGTCCACTTCCCCCAGTTCACTGGAGCATCTTAAAACTAAGGAACTGCACGGATTCATCATCTTCTTCCTTAGCATCATCCATGCTGACTGCTGATACATACCATGCACTGGGTAGGTACTTCACTTACATCAGCCCACTGATTTAATTCTCATGACAATCCTGCAAGGCAGTCTTGTTTTACAGACCAGGAATGCAGAGTCAAGAGAGGCTGGGTAATATGCTCAAGGTTCCATAGACTAAAAAAAATGGAGGATCTGGGACTGGAACCCAAGTCAGCTTCCAAATGCTCCATACACCATGGGGCAAAAGGGCATGAAGCATCAGCTAGGCTGGATCAGAAGGTACGGCAGAGTCAGAAAGCCCACCTGCTTTGTTCCATAAAGGGTCTCCAGCAGCTTCTCTTGTGCAGACTCAAAGCGCCGGTCCAGGCTTGAGGTTGTTTTCTGCACCAGGTTCCAGATTAGGTAATTGTTCAGGACACTGGCATTCAGAGTAGAACGTAAAGAAGGGGCAGTCCCAGGAACATGTGTGGGAGCTGTCCCAGAACCCCTCTCTCTAACCCTTGGACTACACCTGCCTGCAGAAGTTAGCTTGGAACAAAGTGTGGGAAATGAGCAGGTGCCCTGAAACCTCACTCTAGGGACAGTAGCCTGCAGGCATTCTGTTTGGATGTTGAGAAGACCCTGTGCCCTAACCAAATGCGCCCTATGTTCTGTCCCTGCCCAGGACCTCCACCGAGGCCTGAGCCATACCCTCTGCAGCTTGGGCTCCCCCTCACCTCGGTTCTGTGTGGTTGATGAGCTCTGACACTTGCTGCAAATAATCCATCCCATACACCACCACAGGCTCCGAGTCACTGAGTTCCAGTGGTGACAGCAAGAAAGACAGGAACTCTAGCCAGTTCATGGAAGGCGCCAGGACCTAGGAGAAAAAAAATCTCAAGCCTCCTTGCCTTCAGCCAGACTTCCAGCAGACCCTTCCCCCACTGGTACACTAAAGCCTAAGAGCCCTTCCCATTGCCATGGCAACATCTACTGGCTGCTTGGTGACCCCTTCAGGCAATAAACCCTTTTCCAGGCCTGAGCACCCCTCAATTTGGAAGCCCAACTATTTTCTATGTGTAAACAGGTGGAAAACTATTCAGCGGCTGGGGGGGTGGGGAGGGAGGAGGGGAGGAACGAAGGAAGGGACGGACAGAGGAGGGGATGACACATATTCAAATATTTTCAGGAGTTGATAAAATGCCCTCGCCTGAGGGCCTCAGGGTACCTGCATACTTGGCCCCTCTCCCAGGGTCCCACCCCCAACTTCTCCATAATCAAACAACAGAAGGGGTGATGTCTGACACAGTAACAACTTTTCAGGAGTCTGCTCCAGAACCTATTTTAGATTGTTCTGTGGGCATCTTGTACAAGCTATGATAAAATCATCCCTCTATACATCCCTAAGCAACAGGAAAGGGAGCAAAGAATCCATCAGTGACAAGCGCCTAAAGTGATGACTGCAGTGCATCTGGGCAGCTCTGTAAAACAAGGCAGTGAGGAAAGGCTTGGCTGACTCAGGTAGGTGACCTGAAAGGAAGCTGGGCTGTTGGTGCCAGGGGCTGGCCCTCCCCAGCTCTCTCTGGTCCCCTGACTGCCTCACCTGCAGCTCAGCGATGCTCATCTTATGATAGATCTTCTCCTCGTCACGGCGCTGGTCCTGGGGTACGGTGATGTTGGCTAATTGTATCTCCAGCTCCAGCACTTGTTGCATCTGTTCCCGCGTGGAGGCTGACTGTCCACCCAGCAGCACCCCTAGCTCCTCCATATAGTTCAGGTAGGCGGTGAGCACCTGCCAATGCCCAGAGTAACCCTCAGAGCTCACCAGGACTGGCCACTGCCTCCATTCATCATCTCTTTGCTGACTGTCCTTTTACAGGCCTTCTTAGACCACCCTGGTTCATTTCTGTCATTTGTTTATCATCTATTTCCCCAAGGAGACGGTAAATTTCAGGAGAGCAGGGACCGTGTCTGGCGTGTTCACCATTGTATCCCTAGGGCCTGCAGCAGTACCTAAGCCAGAATTTAAAATCAAACATTGAGTTGATTCTGACTCATGGTGAGCCGATATGTTGCACAGTAGATTTTCATGGCTGTTACCATGAAACAGATACCCAGGCCTTTCTTCGTGATGCCTCTGTGTTAGTTTGAACTGCCAACCTTTTAGTTACTAGTCACGCACTTAACTGTTTGCACCACCCATGAAGAGATACTCTGAAAATATTTGTCCATTGGGTGGGTCTGCTTCCCATACTCTGCCTTCCCGTTTCCTAGAGCCCTTCTAGTTTTCCCAGATCCTTGGTGGCTGGAGTATCACTTGGCATCACTGAATTATACATGAAGAAATAGTTACATTGGCTATGTTCTGCTGTATATATTTTCAACAACAAAAATAAAATACATTACTTTAAAAAATTGCAAGGATCTTATCTTCCTTTTCCTTTCCCTACTTTCGCCACCCATGCTTTCACCTCTCTCAAGAATTTGTCCAGGTGTCTAGGGAGACGCCCACCTCTCATGTCCCAGGCGCCTGCCAGGCTCCTCCTCGCTCCACAACTGCATGCAGTTTTCACAGCTGTCTGCTGACCTCTCTACATGGATAGCACCCAGGTCCCTCAAACTCCAGTGTCTAAAGAGAGGCCCCCTCTCCTTGCCTGACAGCCACATTCAGGAACCCTAGCTGGCATCCCTCCCGAACACTTGTGAGGTAGATATTATGACCCCCATTATTCAGGTGAGAAAGCTCTGCCTCAGAGAGGTTCATCAAATTTACACCAATTTGATGGAACTCCAGGCCCAACTCCAAAGTCTGCCCTTTTCCTGTATCATCACATTGGCTTCTTTCTCTCAATGTGCCCTCACACTGGGCCTTCCCACGGACTCCCCGATCTTCTAAGGAAAACTTTTTACCACTGTCCTCTCACTCAGGCCTACAGCCTCCACCATCTTTGCTTCCTCCCTTCCTCCTTCTCTCCCCCTCTTATATCATCCTGCCATCAACAACTAGTGGCTTTGCCTTGACTAGTCTCTTGCATTATCCCTGTTCTTACACCCCCTCTGCTTCTTCCCCAACACTTGGAGTACTGCAGAAACTCTTAAATCATCTCCAGACTCCCTCTCTTGTATCTACTCCCCCATCCCAATCAATCCAGCATCACTGGGTTGCTCTTTCCATGCTCTGGAGTGTATGATGGTTCCCTGAGACCAGCAGAACTAATTCCTTAGTGTAACATTTTAAGTCTTCTCCATAAATAGTTCCTACCCACCTTTATGGAGTCCTGGGGTGGTGCTGTGGGTTAATGTGCTGGGCTGCAAGGTCAGAGGTTCAAGCTCACCAGCCGCTCCTCGGAAACCCCATACAGGGTAGCTATGAGTCAGTGCTGACTTGACGGCACTTAACAACAACAATAATCCACCTTTATAGCCTCCTGTCTACTTTGAGCTATTTTGCCAAATTGGACCCCTTCCCATAGCCCAAACACACCTTAGCTTTTCCCTTCTCTACACTTTTATTTAAACTCTTCTCTCTACCCAGTATGCTCTCACCTACTCTTACATATTCTCCCAGGATGAAATCAAATGCAATTCTGAGAAAGTCTCCTCTGAGTCTCGTCTTCTGAGTGCTAGAGAAACCTCTTTTGCACCATACCCTGTGCTATTTCAGTCCATATATCCATCTACACTGAACTCTTCCTTTGGCCAGGGTTCTAAAACTTACATCTTAGAATTCCCTCCCTGCACCTGGCACAGGGGAAAACCAGTAATCAACTGCTATTGAGTCTATCTAACTCGGGTTGACCCTATGCGTGTCAGGCCAGAATTGTGTTCCAGAGGGTTTTCAATGACTGGGATCTTTTGGAAATAAATTGGCAGGCTTGTCTCATAAGACGCCTCTGAGTGAGTTCAAACTGCTAACCATTGGTTAGTAATTGAGGACTAAACTCTTTATACCAACTAGGCTATGTGATAAAAACCCCACTGCTATCAAGTTGATTCGGACTCATAGCAACTTCATAGGACAGAGTAGAATTGCCTGACAGGCTTCTTAGACAGTAAATCTTTAAAGGAACAGATAGCCTCACCTTTTTCCCTCAGAAAGGCCGGTGGGTTTGCTAACTTTGCAGTTAGCAAACTAATGCTTAACCTACTGCACCACCATGGCTCCTTAAGCACATGGTTGTTACTGTTGTTAAGTGCCTTCAAGTTGGTTCCAACTTCTGCAACCCTGTATAAGCTAGTGGGCTTGAATCACCGACCTTGTACTTAGCAGTCCAGTGCTTATCCTACAGCACCACACCAGGTAGGTGACCATACAATGTTGTCTGAATGAATAAAAGGAAGAAAGGGAGAGAGAAGAGGAGGGAAGGCCAGTTGGCTCACCCTCCCCGGTTTGACTCTGCCAAAAGGAAAAGAGTCAAGAAAGGGAGAAGGGAGAACTCTGAGGACATTCCTTACTTTCTCATTGGCAGTCTTGTTTAGATAGTAATCTCGAGAGGGCAGAAAGAGCCCAGACTGATCCACCTGCAAAAGGAATAAAAGGTGATGAAACTGTCTCCAAATTTGGACTCTTATGCGGGGAGACCCAGCCCAGCCCACTATCACAGGAGAGGGGTATCATCCCAGTACCTGAATAACATTGCTGTTGGAGCTCTTGGAGTCGGCACTGATATAGACAGTAAAGAAGGGAGTGGCTCTGTAGGTTCCTGCCACTGACTTCAGCACATCCATGAAGTTGCCTTTGTCCCAGGGCCCCGTAATGTTCCACCCACCAATCTGAAGAGAGACCATAGTGGAACCTATGGCACAGGGTCCCCCAAACTTCCCTGGGCTACAGCATCTCCTGAGGCCTCTCCTGCTCCCCTGCCCACAGACTTACCTTTTCAATGAGGTCTCGCAGTGGCTGAGCGCCCAGCTCCTCAATGCGTTCCACATGCAGGCAGGACAGGTAGAAGCGCTGAGTCTTCCGTTCAGCTTCACTGCTCGAGTTGAAGGTAGTGTTTTCTGTGGGGTAGAATACAGGGTCCAGGTGCCATTAGCTGAACTGCTTATGGGGAATCTCTGACCTATTGTCCTTCTTCTTGCTTTTTCGGTAAGCAGTTCCCTGGACATAGATCTAAAAAGAATGTCTGAAAGACCAGTCATGGCTTCCTCTCCCCTATCCATGGAACTCTCTCTCCTTGGTACCTGCCACACCTGGACAATGTGTGGCAGGAGCTGGGCGCTCAAAGCACTGCGAGACCTCATTGACAAGGTAAGTCTGTGGGCACGGGAGCAGGAGAGGCCTCAGGAGAGTACCAAAAGGTGCCCCCTTTTAATACTCTCCAAAAAAACCCATTTCTGCTGCTCAGAAGCCCCTACTCTGTGATCCCCTACCTCAGGCATCCTAATCATCTATTTTTCATTAATTCTTGAGAGTTACTGTGTACACAGTTCCAGGCCCTGTGGCATGTACCTGCCACAATACCATCTGACAGGCCTACTCACCCAGCAGGTGCTTCAGTATGGCCTGGTTCTGGTCCCAGAGACTGTTGAAGGTGTTCCAGCGAGAACGCCCATCTGGCAGGGGGTTTTTCTGAATCCAGCCCCCACAGGAGAACTGGTAAAAGTCTTCACAGGGGCTTACTCCACGGTCCAAGGACTCCAAGATTTTTCCAGCCACTCGAATGCAGGCTTCTGTGAGGCAGGTGCTGTGGGATGGGTCTGTGGCAGGGGACATGGCCAGGGGGTAGGGGATTGTTGGTCAGTCTAGGAGAGGTAACCACTTTGGGAGGGGCCATGACAGCAGAAAGGTTATGAGAAGCTAGCAAAGCCAGAGTTAGGAATCTGTGGGAAAGCCCGACTTTATGTGATAAAATCTAAGAGGTCCTTCAGCCCTCAGAGCTCCCAGGCTGTGGGGCTGGTGACAGGTTTGGGACCACCTACCTCTGTGATACTGGACCCCCAGGGCCACAAGGCAGCCTAGAAGCAGTGCAGCCAGCAACAGAGAGACACCTGCCAAGATCAGCTCAATCTGTGTGTGTGAGCCTAAGACATGTCTTGTTCCTTTCCGGAAGCCCACCTGGCGAGTAAAGGGTGACAGAGAGACAGAGGAAGAGAGCACTGGGGATCCCAGACCCCAGAGTTCCCCCACAGGGTGAAAGTACAGTTAGTTTCCACAGCAGGGGGGAGCAAAAAACACTAATGGGGTTAACATCTGACTCGGGGCAATGAGACAGGCCTGGTTTATGCAACGTCATAGTTTAGGATGGCTTCACCATAATCCTAGCGCAGAGGCCAGAGATGGGGCAGAGATGGGGACAGATGCCCCTATGGGGCAGTTCATCTCTTGAAAGTGCCAGGTGTCTTGCGGGGGTGGGGGCCTGGTGATATAGGGGGAACCCTTTGCCCACCTCCAAGGCATCCGGAGAGACGCCGTCCTCTATGGGGGTCTCGGGTGCATCTTCATCCTGAAGCGTGGCCCGTTTGTATTCCACCATCTGCCAGAGTCCGGAGAGTCAGCCGAGGTCAGGCGGAGAGGGGGCTGTTTGTCCATCACCCTGCACCAATGCTTGGCCTGCAGGGCCTCCAGTGCTGCAGTCAGCGCCCCATCCCACTTGACCTGGAGTGGGGCGGGGGACCCTCCGACTCTGATCTCGGCCCCCACTCCAAGTACGCAGCTCCATCTCTCCGCGCCTCCCTCCCGATGCCGCCGCTTTCTCACTATCTGCCCGCTCTACCTCGCCCCCCTTCACCATCCTGGTTCTCACCCCTGGGGCCCGGGCCCCCACTCACATCGCCGCCGCCCCCGCCCAGCTCTTGCAGCGCGACGTTCATGGTGGAGTCGCAGCGGGCGGCGCCCTAGAGTTCAGGGCGGCTGGCCTTCGTCCGGGTCTTTGCCCTGGCCCCACCGCCGCCCGCCATCACAGCCGCTGCCTCAGCCCCTCCTCGGCCGCCGCAGCCCCCGCCTGCCCAAGTCTCTCCTCCCCCCGCGGCGCCGCGCCTGGGGTGGGGGCGGCTGGGGAGGAGGAGGAGCGCCCGCGGTTCCCAGCCATTCGCCCTGAGCCGAGACCTAGCTTCTCAGCTGCAAGCGCCCACCGTCGGCCCTCCTGAGCTGTGCACAACCTGCCGCCCAGCTAGAGCGAGCTGCCCTCCAGAAATGCCAGACCGCCCTCCTTTCTTCGTGGCCAGCAGCCCCCTTCCATAGCATCACTACCCTCAGACAAGCCACTCATAATTGATATTTCTTTAACCCAGGCCCAAACACTTCTAATATTCCTTGGCCCAATTCCCCAAATTGCAGCCTACTTTAAACACCTTTGAGAAATGATGGTCTCCTGAGAAACTTCTTCCCCCAGCAGTCCACAGGCTGCTCATCTACATACAATGTGTGCACACATTGCCATTCAGAGAGCACATAAATGCACGGATAGGCACACACTTCAACATAGAGTCCGCACAGAAGACAGTCACAGAACGTTCACTCTTCGTAGTCACAAGCAGTGTATACAAAGAGCCCCCCTTTCCTCCCCAGAACCAATACACAAAATACAAATCTTTCCGTACCCCACAATACACACACAAACTGCACAGGCCATGTACAGTACACACACACACACACACACACACACGTTAACTCCACTTTTGCTTTTGCTTCAAGACTGCACTTTTACGCTCAGAGATAATTGTCATCGGAGTGTCTCACCAAAGGAGGGTTACAGATGGTGACAAATTGGCAGGGAAAAAAACAGCCATGCACAGATATTTAAAGAAAAGGCATGCTAACACTTCTAACTTGGGGAAAGCAAACCATTTCATTTGGGAGAGTTACAAGAGAAATACACACACACACAAAACCACCAACCAATCTTGAACTGAAAGGCAATAGTAAGGAATTCATGCATCTGCCTTCTGTATTGTCATTCCTTTATCAGGCTTGGGGATGTTGCATTCTGCTGTAATGGAGAGTGTACTTCCTGCTTTTCTCACCCTTCCCAACAGAGCACAAGAATTGGATTTGAGAAGGCTTGTAGTGGTGGTAAGTACATAATCCATTTCTTGATTCCCCTCACCCCCTCAGATATTTTGCTGCAAGTAGTTTTAACATGGAATGCTCCTGTGACTGAGGAAGGATAACTGATGAATGGGCCAGGCTGAGGAACAGTAGATTTGCTTTCATTGACATATTTTCCATCCTAAAGTTGTATGCTCTCAAATGGGAAATGTGACTGCTGTAGGATCAGCAATGGACTTCAAACGACAGGGTCAACAGTTCAAACCTACCAGCTGCTCCTCAAAAACCCTATATAAGGTCACTCTGAGTCGGAACCAACAAAACGGCACTTAACAGCAACAGCAGTGGCGTCCTAGTTAGGATGAAAGGTTCTGGATTCAGCCTCCTGTGCCCAGACTCAGCTTCCGCATTTATATAATGGAAATCAGAATATACTCACTTCAAAGGATTAGTGTGAGGATTAAATGAAATAATTCTTGCTTTAGGACAGTGCTTGAAACACAGCAGGAACGCAATATGTTACCTGTCATTATCCTTATTATTAAAGACATATATGGAACTCTGACGGAAAAAAGGTGACAAAGGGAATCCCACACCTAGCAAAATTGTGCGTCAAATATGATGGCAAAATTAGGACATTTCCAGATAAATAGAAATTGAAAGAATTAGTAAAAACCAGACCAACCTTACAAAAAATACTAAAGGGAGTTCTTTGGACAAAGAATTAACAATTGCAGACAACACCCTGAGATTAGCATACATGACAATATCACCTAGAGTTCAAGCCAGATGTTGTTATTGTTGTTAAGTGCCGTCGAGTCAGTTCTGACCCATAGCGACCCTGTACAGGGTTTCCGAGGGTGTAAATCTTTATGGGAGTAGAAAGCCTCATCTTTCTCCCATGGAGCGGCTGGTAGTTTCGAACCGCTGACCTTAAGGTTTGCAGCCCGATTCGTAACCACTACGCTACCAGAGCTAGATGTAGAAGTATCCAAAGTAAAACAGCTCTACAAGACTGAAAATAGGGAACCAAAGATACCAGTTTACAAAAACAACAACAAAGTAAAAAGAGGGAATAGTATAGTTACAGAACTTCTAAATGATGAGGAAATAATCAATTAAATTTGAAGAGAAATAAATAAATTAAAATAAACCTAACTGAACCCTAAAATTAGACTAAGTCTGACTCCTAGCCCTAGCTCAATCATTAAACCCCTAACCCTAACACTATCCCTAGTCCTAACCATACATAATCTTAACACTACATGAAACCCTAGGCTTGGCCTAGGCTGAACGTTAGTCCTAACCCTAACTACTTACTCCAATCCCACTGTCCCCGCACTCCGCCAACAAACAAGCATAGAACTCCATAGAGGTAGATATGAGAACTGTAAGGCTGGAGGAAGCCTTTTCTGTTTCCCAGATGGTTAGAGTAGCCACATGGGTTTCAGTTGAGTCAGAGGTTCTTTGAGCTAAGAATTGTCACACCAGCTGTGTCCAGGTCTGCAATAGCAAGGCCTTGGGAAATTAACTTGACAAATCTCTGGAGTCCCTATTCACTCTGGTGACAAGGTGGCATCAAAATACTGACCATTTACCCATAGCAGCAAAGCCCATCCTGTCCCAAAGTAAATCTCACCATGACATGGACATGTAAACATAACAAAAATTCTGTATCAAAACTGCCGGTCAGCAGGCTCATTAGAAATAGTCCCGTGGCCAACCACTGCAACACCACACTGGAAATTGAGTTCTGGTAGCATAGTGGCTAGGAATCGGGCTGCTAATCTCAGGGTCAGCAATTCGAAACTACCAGCTGTTCCTCGGGAGAAAGATAAGGATTTCTGCTCCTATAAAGATTTACAGCCTCGGAAACCCTGTACAGGGTCGCTATGAGTCGGAACCGACTCCACGGCACATTACAACAACAACATATAGCACATTACTATGTGCAAGCCACTCTGTTAGGTGCTTTACATCTTTGTTCTATTTACCCTCATGACACTATTATGAAGCTATTTTACAGATGAGGACACTGAGGCATAGAGGCTAAGAGTATCTAGTATGTGGCAGAGCTGTGATTCAAACCCAGGTAATTGGGCAGAGCAGTTTGGTGATATGAATTAAAAGGAGGCCCTGGAGTGGCGCTGTGGGTTAATGCGCCAGACTGCAAGGTCAGTTTGAACTGGAAGGTTGGCAGTTCAAGCTCACCAGCCACTCCTACACAGGGTCTTTATGAGTCTGAGCTGACTCAATGGCACTTAACAACAACATACTTCTTCTTAATGTTAGTTACATCCTTTCTACTCTGAGAAGAGTAAGAGAAAACACATCAGCTTTCAAGCCAGACAGATCTGGTCTCAAATCTGGGTCAAATCTTTGTCTGTTGTATGATCTTTCCCAAGTTACTTAAAACCTAACTTTCTCATCTGTAAAATAGGAACAATAATAACTATCTCAGAGTGTTTAGGTGAGCATAAAATGCAACCACATATTAAATAGCCTGGTACCTAATTTTATAGTGTTCTCAGTTTAATTAAACTTGAGCTTTTCATGACCAAAATAACTTATTGGACTTAATTCCTGCCCACATATCAAGAACTTTATATAAAAGAGGCTTGATAGCTGCTCTATTCTTATTTTTCTGAGTGTATCACCTTCAACTCTGCTTTTCTTGAATTTTTCCTCTCCCTTTTTTTTGCTCTTCCTTTCCTAAAAGAGTAGTATATTTTTGTCTTCCTTTCTCTAAATTGATAGTGAATCGACAGGGAATGGAGGGATCAGACAATGTTTTATATGTTAAATTTACAAGCACAAAGTAATCATGAGGATAAGAAACAACAATGTCCAGTTTTGACAAAAGATAAGAAAATGGACACTTTCATAGACTGTTGGTGATTAGTAAATGGGTACAATCTTTTTTAGGCAATATAAATCAGAAGATACAATAGTGTGTGTACTGTTTCAAATTCTCATAGAATCCAGATGCTCTGGAGCCATTGAAAAACCCTGAAACTATTGCCCTAAGATAATCTTTACATTTTAAACCAAAAATATCCCATGACGTTTTCTTAAAACCGAACAATAGTTTAGCTTACTTAACAAATAATGTCTGCCTTGAGCATTTTGCTGTGTTTTATTTTTTAACTTTTAATTGTGAATTGAGTGAATGTTTACAGAGTAGATCATCAGTTTTACATTCAAATGTAACAGTTTTACATTACAACAAATGACATATTTCCTTTCATTTCAATGGTTGCAATCCCCTCCATGTAACATCAGCCTCCCTGTGATTTTTGTTTCCATTCCACCTTCTTTCCCACCCCTTCTGAATTTTGTCCTTAAGTAAATGCTGTCCTTTTGATCTTGAATGATGATTCCATGGCGTGCATGTCTCACTAATGTTGTTGTCACCTCCCCACCTCCCATCTATATACCTATCTACTGCTTGGCTTAAAATGGAGCTACGAGGGTGAGTTCAGTTCC